GAAGAAGAAGAAGAAGAAGAAGAAGAAGAAGAAGAAGAAGAAGAAGAAGAAGAAGAAGAAGAAGAAGAAGAAGAAGAAGAAGAAGAAGAAGAAGGGTGCTGGTCTCAAAAACTTTAGTAAAGTAAAAATCCAATTGTTAAATGAACATGATTTTTTCTTCCTTATTATCTTCCAATAGTTACACAAGGGGGAAGTTAATTTAATATGTCTATTTATGTTTACAGTGCATCTCTATCAGGGATAGAGATTACCATTCTATTACCATTCTCCTCCCACCTTCCCACATGATTCCTCAAGTTTCTTACTTCCGTTTTCATAGATGTACACTGAGTGTTTTGACTTTAACAGGCAGTCTTAAAAGAAGAGGTATAAATGACTGATAAATTCATGAAATGTTGTTCAACGTCCTTAGTTACAGAAGAGAGAAAAATGGAAACACTATTGAGATTCCATCTCCCATCAGCCAGAATGGCTATTTTCAAGAAACAAACAAGTGATGGCAAAGATGCTGGGGAAAAGGGATCCTTATGGACTGTAAAGTAGTGTAGCCCCTATGGAAATAATAAAGACATGCCTTGAAAAGTCTAATTACCATATGATCTTGCTATAACACAGTTGAGCGTTTATTGGAAGGAATGTCAACATACAAGTGGAGACACCTGTAAACCCTTATTTATCGTGGTATTTTTCATAATAGCCAAGGATGGTGCCAGCCTATTGCCCATCAAAAGATGGATGGAAGTCAGACACCAGTAGCTCCCACCTGTAATCCTAGACACTCAAAAGGCTACGATCTGAGGATCTTTGTTCAAAGCCAGCCTGGATAGGAAAGTCTGATACTCTTATCTCCAAATAACTAACAAAAAAAAGAGAGTAGAGGTGTGGCTCCAGCAGTAGAGCATCAGCCTAGAGTAAAAAAGTTAAGGGACAGTGCCCAGGACCAGAGTTCAATCCTCAGTACCAGAACAAAAAAGAAAGAAAAAAAGAAAGATGAATGGATAAAGATAATGTGGTATATGTGTGCCAGGGAGTAGTATTCACTCATAAAAAAGACTGTAATTATATCCTTTGCAGCTAAATTGATGGTAATGTATCTTATTGTGTTAAAGTAAGGCAGATTCAGGGAAATAGATACTTTGTATATTTTCTCTCTCATGCAGAATATGGCCTTAAAAATAAAAAAAATATAAACCTTAAAAGGGGGCTATTGTGAGGGATCATCAGAGCATCAGTGCGTAGAAATGGGAAGAGATAGTGTATGTGAGGGAGGGGAGAATATGAGAAATGTACATTGTGTGTATGTATGAGAGATTAGAGTTAAAATAATTTCTAGTGTACTTCCAGATATTCACAAGGAAGGTACAAGAAGATTGTGAGTTCAAGGCCAATTTGAGCAAAGTTTGGGAGCCCCTATCTCAAAATCAAAATAAGAACAAAAACAGTTAGTGGGCATAGCTCAAGTTGTAGCATGCTTATCAGGCAAGTGCAAGGCCCTAGAGGCAGATCTATGTATCAAAAGAAATCATTAATAATCTCAGACCAAGAGATAATCACAATTGTTTTTGTTATGTGCTTTTCCATGCTTATCTATGCATATGCTATTTTTAATATTAGAAAAACAATTCACCTTTTATGTTGTGCTTCAGTCCTGTACTAAGATTTTGGAAGGATTACAAAAAGGCAAGGCATGTTTAAAATTCAATTTATTGACCTTACAATAAACGTTGCATGATTCTCTTGAAGACATAAAAGAACCACACATTCAAACTGGAATGGACAGACAGCCCCTAAAGTGATGCGTACAAATCCAGTTTGACATGTGAAATGAGTTTAACAGGCATTACAGACAGGTGACTGACAACAAGAACTGCAGAAATCATCCTATCTGTTAAAATATTTTACTTGGCTCTGACTCTATAGCAGAAATCTAGTCTTTGTTCGCCACCTAGCGTCAGTGCATCAGAAGTGACTATAGCTCACCACACAAGATACACAAAAGCAGAGTGTGGGAAAATTATTCTATGCACAGTCCGTCCTTATCCTTATCATAGTCTCTGCTGACCTCAGTGAAGTGTCTGACCATGGGAAGTTAAGCTTGATTTGTTGCGTTGCGGCACATAGGATAGCTAATGGTTGGATTGCAGCAAGAGTGGACTTGCTCTATCTAAAATTTGCAGGATTTGTCTCACAACATTAATCAGCAAAGGACAGCAAAATATGCTCAACTTTTCAGTGCAGAAACATTCAGATTACTTATCCAATCTTACAATAATATACAAATGGTATATTTCCTAGTATGCAAATATTTATGTGCATTTGATTTTACACACATATTTATGCCCATATACATATATATTTATATGCATTTGACTATATATGACAAATTATAAATAAAATATTTATATTTTTCAAAAAATAAAATAATATTTTATTCATTTTGCTTCTTGATGCGTCTTAAGCACTCTTTAATCATTTAATATTTTGCTTTTATTTAGTAACAGCTCACCTTATGAATTTAATGAGATTTTTAAATAGCTGCATTTCAGGATTGTGATTATCTGGAAATTATAATTCTTCCTAGCATTTGTGATTTAATTTAATGCTACGATTTCATCATTGTTCTTTCTATTTAATTGTTATTGTAAAGTTGATATACAGAAGGGCTACAGTTACATGGATCAGGTAATGAATGAGGAATGAGTACAATTTTTTTCAACTATGTCTCCCCTTTCGTCATTCTCTCCCAGTCTTTCCCATTCTTTCCATGGTGCCGTCCTGCTTTGCTGAAGGTATTTTTTCATCTTCAAGTTTAAAAAACAGAGACCTTAAATATAAGCATGCAAATAAATAGAGAAGGCAGGCAAATATAAACCTAATAGTATCTAATTTTATGAATAAAATATGCTGCTAAGTGAATGTTTATTCCCAACACCACAAGTTTATCTATTAATTACTACATATAGTAGTTATTTTTAAAAGAATTTTAACTAACAAAGAGCAGGATTCTGAAACTTATTCTGTCTTTTTCTAACTACATAACAATAACTTGTAACACAAGTTCTTTAGTTTTTCTGAAATTCAGTGCCCTTTTATAATCTAGATGTAATTAGTGAGTTTGTGAGGTTTAAACAAATCAGCACAAAAAGAACAAATTCTATGTGGTATTGTTCATATTTGACCCAAGAATATGCCTCTACCAGAAAACCTAAATTAAACAGACTGAGGATTCTAAGTGTTAGCAAGAACATCAACAGATAGCTGGCCATTTTAATATTCTTAACTGGTTATTTAATTTATTATTTGAACAATAGTAAAGTAAAAACTAAAAAGATAAAATTTGTAGAAACATCATCAAGACACAAATTTTGACCAATTTTGTGTATACAAACATATTACAGTGATACAGTCAAATTATCATTCATCAGTTTTGTATTAAATAATTCACCTTGCTTAGGGCTTGGGAGATAATAGAATTTGGTATCTGTGGTTTTAACACATTTTTTCTTACCTAATTTGTCCAACTTACAATGTCATACATGTTGTTGTTGTCTTCCATAAAACAGAACTATCTTACAAGTCCTGAAAGAACCTGAATTTCAAATCACTTAATCCTTTAAATGTCATAGCAACCAAATCATAGAAGACTGAGTAGGAAAAGATACTCAGTTCCATGCTAAGACTCCCTTTTAGTACACAATTTTATAAAAGCTAAAATATTTATGAGTATGGCATAGTAAGATCATCTTTGGTACCCAGTTTTTTTCTGCAGACACAAAGTTTTTGTGAATTCTCTCTCAATATTTTTGTATGTGTATGTCAATATACATATATATGTCAATATACATATAAATATAAATGTCAATATACATATATACGCCAATGAGGGACAGAGGAAGAGAGTGCTGATCTTTAGAATTAGTGATTCATATTGATGTAAACAGAAAGAATGCTCAGCGAGGATTCCCTGACACATCAGAAAGACAAAACATAATCTCACACCTTCTGAAAAAGGCTTTATAATTCCTAGAGACATCCGAATTTTCAGGCAAACAAACAGTCATGAGCAATTGTACACATAAACTCCCAAAAGAATTAGAGTTCAATTTCTTGTCACTTTTTACCTAGCCAGGACTGGGTTCCTATGCTCTTCCTCTTGACAGAAATCACCTAATAATCTAAATGCCATAAATTAAAACTCAAAACCTACTATCAGTTGTCTATGATGGATAGTCAAAATTTCATTGAAAATCTGCCTTGACAAAGAATCAATCATAGACTATAGAAACCCAAAGAGTTCCATGAGGAGACTTCCCAGTGAAGCAGGGGTAGTGTAGACCATGTGCATTTTCATGTGTTTTTTTCCTTGACTCAAGTATCAAAATGAGCAATGTATCATTATACTGATAGCAATAAACTGTTAAAGATGAACCCAAACATATGTAGCTATTTTGCAGTGCACTGTTTATTCTGTACAAAAGCAATTGACTAATAGATATATCTCAGCTAATAAAACAGAGCCGAGAGTTTTATAATTAAAAAAAAAAGAATAGGAAAGGACTAGAGATTCTGGAAACAGGTCTTGTTTGTACTTTGTTGGGCAACCTTATGGTCCAGCAGATAGCAAAGATGTTGATCTAGATAGGATTTATCCTCCAATGTTCCAAACCAGAAAAATGAAAGGAAGCCATTTCAGTTGCTTATAGTTTCCCCAAAAGTTGTGAGTTTTGTTATTCAGCACACATCTCATGTCATTTACTGCAGGAGAATTTCTCACTCTCCTGTGCTCTTCTCTTTCCTCACCAGCCTTCTCAAAGCTCCTTTTACATCTTTGTTTCTCAGAGTGTAAATGAGAGGGTTTAGAGTGGGAGTGATCACAGTGTAGAAAAGCGTGATGAACTTCCCTTGGCGGTGAGCATAGGAGCTGTTGGGCTGGATGTACACAGCTGTGATTGTGCCGTAGAAGAGGGACACTACAATCAGGTGGGAGCCACACGTCCCAAGAGCTTTGCGCCAGGCTTCTGCGGACCTGATCTTCATCACTGCTTGAGCGATGCATCCATAGGAGACCAGAATAAGTGTCAAGGGAAGGAGAAGCAGCACCAAGGAAGCCATGAAGAGCTGGACCTCATTGGCATGAATATCCACACAGGCCAGCTTGATCATGGCGGGAACTTCGCAGATGAAGTGATAAATTCGATGGTTTCCACAACGAGGCAGGCGAAGGGTGATGGTTCCTTGAATCAGTGTGTTGCCCACTCCACTCAGCCAGGCCACTCCTGCAAGAGACTGGCAAAGCCGTGGGTGCATCACTGCGGCATAATGAAGTGGTCGGCAAACAGCAGCATACCGATCAAACGCCATGACAGCTAGGAGAACACATTCAGTGGATCCCAGGGCCAGAGACACATAGAGTTGAATAGCACAGCCTGTGGGAGAAATTGTCTTGGATGGACCATGGAGGTTCCACAGCAGCTGAGGAACAATGCTGGTAGTGAAGCAGAGGTCAACGAAGGAGAGATTGGTAAGAAAATAGTACATGGGTGTGTGGAGCATGGAATCCAGGCAGGAGACAAGGATGATTGCTGTGTTACCTACCAGTGTCAGGAGGTAAGAACCCAGCACGGCCACAAACAGGATCTTCTCAAGTTGTGGCTGATCCGAGAAGCCCACCAGTATGAAATCACCTCCTGAACTCTCATTAATCGTCTTCATCACTCTACTCCTGAAAAGGAGAAAGACAAGTAATAAAAATGTAGGTGTTACTGGAAAGCAATCAGAACGAAATATACACCTGAGAGACGTTGACCCTAAGGATGAAGAATCAGTGCATGTTATGTATGGGGAGAAGAGAGAAAGAGGCAGAGACCAAATCGGATGGACAAAGACACGGAGAATTGTATATTCTCAGGAGGAAATAAAATAAATCAGAGTGCACAGACAACTATCAATAGATATACTGAACTATGAAATAAATGGCCCATACAAAATTATTGTTCAGTTTTTCCAAAATAGTTCATTTTTTGTTCTGGAAATCCACTTTTTAGTTCCTCAACAGAATCTATTAGAAAATCAGATGTGCTATCAAATCAGTGAACATCTTTGTAGCTATTCTGTCAACAGCAAACAATAAAAGTAACAAAAGTAGACAAACGTTTGAAATGTCAGTTGAAATGTTGAAAATGTCAGTACTTTATCTGATATATGCATTTGTCAATATCATACTAAGGGTGAAATATCCAACCATCATGTTTTAATTACGTGTTTGATATCATCTTCTTTTTAGTTTTCTATTCATTTTTTTCACATAATATAAAAAGGGACTATCTAGAGTATTTTAACAGAATCCACTGAGGGTAGCATTATTTCTTGTAGGTTGAAACAAAACTTATGTTTGTAAAAACATTATTTTAGAGTTGGATATTTTATTTTTATATTAATAAAACTAAATTTTTTCATTTTTCATATCTTTCATAAAGTTACATTTGGAGTATAAACTTCATTTTCCTTTTACAATGTCATATTGTGTAGTGGAGAATGGCAAGTCTAATTAATTCCTCCTTTTTATTTGATTTTAAAAAATAATTTTATTATCTTTACATAGTTGTACAAAAGAGTTACCAATGCAACAAAGCAGTTTATGAACACAACGTGTCTTGATTGCTTCTTAATTAAATTTTAAAGAAATTTTTAAAGAAATTTTTATTCAATTTTATTACAGTAACTTACTTGCTAAGTCAATCTGATTTTCCTAATATTGCTCAATTCTATACAAAAGAAATATTTTTAACTGATGTCCTAGTTGAGAAAACATTCTAAGTAGTTGCTTATCTTTGGCTTTTAGTCTTGCCCATTTCTTGCTCATATACGGTCATTAGAATCATTGAAAAATAGGATATTTATCAATATATTTTTATGTCAACAAAAATATTGATATATTTTTGTAATTTTTATTTCTTAAAGTTCCAAATTAATAAACTCTTTTTAAACTCAAGGCTCAAATTTGGTTCTCCTTTCTGTTTGCAGAATTATCTGCCGCCATTTCTGATTTCATTCAATCAAATCAAATTTTTGAGTACTTACTCAAATCATTTGCTAATTCTGTCTCTATGGCTCTTTCTTTTTTTTTCATTGTATTTGCTGTTTTTAATGTTTTTTATTGTAAAAATACTGCACAGAGGGGCCACAGCCACATGAGCAAGGCGATGTGTGCATTTCCTATCGAACATTATTCTCTGGCTCTTTCTGTTAATTAACCTTATCAAATTTTACTCACCTGTTAATTTTGACTTCTGGATGAACATCTTCTAAGATGTACTATGGTCCACTCCATAAAAACTTCTTTTCTGAAAAGTAGAGTTTTTTGTAACTCTGTCATTTTATTTAATTAAGCATGATAAGGTACCTAAAATGAAAAGGAAACTCTTTATTGCCAATGATATTTCTTTTAAATGTCTTTTTCCTTTATTAATGTTTCTTCTTATCCTAAGCATGCAAGCCTATTTATGAATCAGATTAGGTAATAAAGATATTTTTAATGAACTGGTGCCATTATTAGTTTTTTTCAGCTATATTTTCCCTATTTCCTGTTTAAATATGTTTAAAACATTTTAGTATATAGCACTGTAGCATGCATACAATAATTTCCTGATTTCAAAGGATACATGTGTTTGCCTCACTCTGTGCCCTCTCCATTATTTAGCCAAGGAATTTCAATATCCTTAGAAACTCTATCAGATCAGTTTTAATGCTTTGAAATAGACTTAACAGAAATGCTTGGGACTTTTCTCAAGTTAACTACTATATATTTATATCTGCAAGTTTTCCTTCCTATGCAGTTACCATGTCCAATGTGTATATTTAATTCAGTGTTATACCATTCAATCATTAGTCCCTGGAAAAATTGAGCTTATGAGTATCATAATTTACAATATCTTACATCTTTAAATGCATATATTGTAATATGAGAAGATTCTTTTTTTGTTTTCTACAATTACTGCATATACATATACACAAACATAACTTATCTGCTCAGTAACTGTACACATGGAAAGCTATTACTATATCAGAAAGACTATCTTCAGCATCACAGCAAACCACATAGTTTGAAGGAATCTTTAAAAATTAACAGTCAATAGGATATATTCCACAAAGCTACTCTTACTTTTTTTCTATTTTTGTATTTTCCTTTTCATTAATATACACTGTAAAAAATTAAGAGAACTATAAAAGTACTTTGTTTCAAGCACAATCCTTTTATAATATAAATGGTAAATGTCAACTCAATATATTATTTCATAATAAAAGCATTTAATAGAAAGCAAAGATAAAAACACATTAGTTGTTGGCTGGATGGTTTGAGAAGGCTGACATAAACACTCAAAGAAAATGTTTATGTTTTCTCCATATAGGGACATTACAATAGATGTAGATGAGGAAGAGAGAAGACATAGTCATTTCATCTTTACCTCTGCAAACTTGGTTGCTTCTCACTAGTTCTGTAAGGTGAGAAGATACTTATTTCCACAGTTATAAAATAATGAAAAAAAAATGTTCTGTAACAAGAAATGATGTGTGGCCTAGATTGGGACTCAGGGAACTCTATATTCCTCATAGGGCAATTAATACCAGCACAAGAGTGACCAAGAGCAGAGGTCTCCCAGGGAAAGTGTGTGGAAAGAAACTCTTTGGAATTCTTACAGCTTCAACCTGAAAAGTTGCCAGGCCCCTCAATTCAAATTCTGCAATAAAATCTTGAAGAAAGTGAAAATAAAGTTCTCACCTTCAAGGAGGTAAATGTACAAAGTCATGATTCCCATGGAATTGTCACCCAATGGCCCCATGGTTAAAGAAGCACTGTGTAATCAGGACGTAATTATCAAGACACATTTGCATATGTCCTATACCAAGTTAGCCACTAAGAGAGATTATCACATGTGGATTCTGTTTCAAGGAGATGAAAACAGATCATTTGGCAGTAATACATTTGCCTTGTCACTATTTCTTAAACTTTGTACAAGATTCACAGATCAAATAAAAATTTCGAGGGTTCTTAAACATACAGAGTTTTAAAAACCTGACAAACGATATTGATACTTTTCAGAAATTCACAAAATTTAAAGACTAAGTAGGCCTGCTTACATCAAATTTCTTCCAAAATACCCTCTAATATGCTAACAGCCCCTACATGTTTTAGTTATATAATGTTTTGTTCAGTAACTTAATATTTTGTTAAGAATTTGTATGAGTAGGTCATTAAGGCAGGTGTTAAGAGACCTTGTCACTGAATTAGGCATTTGAGAATAGGAAGTGCATCTGCACTTTCTAGACTTATTTCATCGTATGTCATTGTACCTAAAAATATTTAGAAATAGATAAATACAAATATTATAAAACTGATGCATAGGTGTCAATTTGATCCAAAATAAAGGCATTATAATACTGAGACAGATTAGAGTGAATGATCTATCTCTTTGGGAGGGAACCAACACAGGAATTAAGCATTGTTATGGCTCTATTAAGTATTACTAAATGTCTGCTGATCTTGATAAGTTGTCATTGTAAGCAAATTTTTTGGGGGGTGGGGGTTCAGTTGTGGGGCCTGAACTCTGGGCCTGGGCGCTGTCCCTCAACTCTTCAGCTCAAGGTTAGGGCTCTACCACAGGAGCCACTGCGCCACTTCCGGCTTTTTATTTTCTGCTTATGTGGTGATGAGGAATTGAACTCAGGGCCTCATGCATTCAAGGCAAGCGCTCTACCACTGAGCCACCTTCCCAGCCCATAAGCAAACCTTTTAATGCTTAATTTTCCTTTGAATATGCTAAGATATTGGAGATTGAGCCAGTGTGACTTCCTAATTGAGAGCTGTTAGACCCTTGCTAATGCTCCATTTGCCTGGATGAAGAACAATCAGCAAAACTGCCAACCATTTTGGTTATAGCCTAGCTGCTCTGAATATTCATAGATGTCTTGAGGATATTATAGAGTAACCATTGCCTTAAGCAGAACTCTGACTCAAGATGACACTTAGCCACAATTGTTTCAACAACTATGTTAGACATTTTGCCATCACACAGCTTAATATACTTGAGATATTTTCACTTCTGGCATACTCCTTTTCTGACTATACAATATGACTGTTAAGTTGTTGAAAGCAAGCAAAGACATGCACCTGTGCTTCACACAATGAGCAGAACCTGTCAGAACCAAAGGTGTCAGTGCTCTGAAAAAGAGCAGAATAATTACTGTAGTTGTAGAACAAGGAAAAGGTCAATTTAAATGATAGAAAAGTTTATCATGATCTACTTTTTCCATTCACCTTCCTCTATAATGAGGAGACACCAGTCTATACAAAGAGACACCAGTCTAACTCCCAAGCATAGGAGTGTTTCCTTCATTACACAGATAAAGCAGACCTTCCTTGCAAATTATCAGACTTGTTTTCATTTTTGTGGAAGCTATTTGAAAGAATGATATAATAAGCTCATCTGCCAAAATCTATAATAATTCACAGACAAAATAAGAGCCCTTGATCAGATAACTCATTGATGAATTCTACCAATTATTTAAAGAACAATTCTTCTGAAGCTCTTCCGAAAGATAGAAGAGCTTAAAAGACTTCATCTCTCTGTATCAGGCAGCTTTACTCTGAGAGTCAAGGCAAAGGAAAACATCAGGAGAAGAAAAATTTAAAACAAGATACCCTATAACACACATTTAAAATCACACACAAAATTCAAGGGAATGCAATCCAGTAGGATATTAAAATATCTAAAAACCATAAGCCATATTTATCTTGGGAAAGCAAGCATGGTTCAAAACATCAGAAAAGTAATATATCATATTAGCAAAAGGGGAGAAAACGAAACTACCTAATTATTTCAGTTGATTAAGAGTTATTTCCTAAAATCTAAAATATTTTCACAATGAAAAGCTTAGTGAAAGGCAATAAACTAAAGATACTGAGGACTTCCATTTAGTGAATAGATCCAGATAACAGACTTTTTCACCTGGAAGGCATTCTGGGCAAGCTGAGAAATGTAAGCACCTCAGGGCTCAGCAAGTGAAGGATTGGGCAACCCCCGGTCCCACCTTCTCAGGCTCCTTTGTTTGAGGATCACATCAGAAACTACCATTTCATCATAGGCATGCAATCAAGTTCCAACTCAGGAGAACTATCCACGGAAAATAGAATCCAGACTATGAAACACATACTTTATGTGGAATTTCAGAGTTAAAGAGGCTGTAAGTAGGAAGATCTCCTAGTCAAATGACTCCTTGATCTTCCCTGTTATTTCTCTTTCATATCACTAAAATGTATATATGCCATTACTAGTCTTTCTTTATTATAATAAACACTCAGAAACCTTTTGGTTGTGGTAGTTTGTTTGACTGTGTTTTGAACTCAGAGGCTTGAGCTTGTTAAGTGCTCTACTAATTAAGCCATACATGCAATCCTTTTTTGTTGTTGTTTTACTTACTTCAACCCATGTTCCTCCTACCTACGCCTCCTTCTTCATAATTGTTTATTACAGTTGTGCACAGCTATTCCTGGCATGTTTATTGACTGACATGAGATCTCATTAGCTATTTGTAGGAGCTGCTCATAAACCATAATCCTCCCAATCTCTGCCTCTTAAGTAACTGCGATTACAAATATGCCCCATCATATTGATCCAGCAGTAGGCATACTTTATCCTGTTCTTTGGCTATCCTGATAAATATTTTTAACTCTCAATTTTATTGTACTTAATACCATTGGCAATAACTAGGCACTTTGTTATTCTTGTGTGATACTGGACAATTAGGCACAATAAGCCTACTTTATTTGTGGACTTATTAAATATGGTTTTGACATACATTGGTTAAAAACACTTAATTAAAAAAAATCTGAAGTACAATAAGAGCTCCACCGATGTGAAGAAGTTCTTAGTCTCACAGTATTATCAGTGGTAATTAAGTTATCGTGTGACCAACTATTTCCCCATCCTTAACTCTGTAAAAACAATATGCTTCCCACCAAGCAAATGGTGCCACAAACCATGGTAAATGCCAATCCTTCCAATCTTACAAGGGTCTTAGAAAATGCTTAATTTAACTTACAAAGTGAGAATTTAAATTTTGTTGGAAGTTGGTATGCATTTGGTGACTGTGGGTAATATTATTGGAAAAATGAATCAAGGATCCACAGTACAC